CGCTGCCCCAAGGAACAGTGGCCCCAGCGTCAGGACGAGGCTCGAGGGAGCGGCTGGGCTGGGTCCCCAGCCGTGGGAGCACGGCCCTTCTGGAGTGCGGCGGTGGGGACGGCTCACGACAGCCTGTGCGTCTCAACCGGCGGCCGCGTGTGCACCAAGTGTCCATCCTTCTATCTCGGCTGCTTCCAGAGTCAAAGGAAGTTTAACAAACACTGTTGCAGAAGGACCGGAGTGGATGCGGAGTGGCCTGGGGCGGCCGGCCCACGAGGTGTGAGGGGCGGCTCGGGGTGAAGGCTCCGGGGCTGGGCGGATCACCCAAGCCTTCGGTGCATCTGCTGCACCCTGGGCTCCGCGCCTTCTTCCTGCGCCCGCAGACACGCCTGTGGGTGGCCGATCTGGGCGGCCGCTGAGCAGGTGCTGCGTGGGGCCAGGGGCCTCGCAGGGCTGTCCTCACCGCAGGCCTGCGCGAACACTGACCGCCTGCCACACAGACCCAGACACCCCGTCTGCGCGGCTCAGACCCTGTGCGGCCTTTTGAGTCAGGCCTCTCAGCATGGCATTGGGCTCGTGTGTGCCAAAGCAGTGCCCATGTCCTGCTTTTTAATGGCGGGACCGGTTTCCGCTGTGGCCGGACCAGATTTCATTTATCCATCCACGCTTGGTCGGCACTTGACTTGTCTCCACCTTCTGGCTACTGTAAAGCTGCCGTGAACATTTGTGTACAGGTGTTTGTGTGGACGTCTGTCTTCCTCTCTCGGTCGACACCCAGGAGCAAAGGAGCCAGGTCACTGGTGACTGACTCTCAAGAACCACCAACCGGTCCCCACAGCAGCCGCCTGTTCCACGTGCCACAGTGGTGAGGCCCCAGCTCTCGGCATCTCAGAAACAGAAACGTAAATTACACCGGGGCTTGGGGTCTGGGTTCCCGAGCACCGTGCGTCTGGAGAAGAGGCCCGGCCCAAACACTGGGCATCAGCCGCGGCCGCTGCAGCCAGCGTGACCAAAACCACGCACGCTCTGGCTGCGCAAGGCAGAAAGCCCTAATTTAAGATGTTCAGCACCATCATGTGGAGCTCCGTCTCCCGCCATCGGGCTGTGATTCCTGCCAGCAAACACACTGCTGTGGCTGCTGATCAGTCTGTCACCGAGACAACAAGGCTCAACCAGATGCACGGCAGCCGGTGCCTGCCCGGGAGGTGCAGATCCTGGGCAGACACCACCTGGAAGGGGTCGAAAGCACAGACCAGCTTCATTTTTTCTGTTAAAAGTTTTCTCAAATAATGGATCGTTCCAGAAAGCACCTTAAAGTTGTCTGAAATACTCCTGCCGAAGGGAAGCCACGCTCAAGTTCTGGGGGGCCTTGGACTGCTCCCCCGAGGGTTTGCTGGGACACCCTCCAAATGCACGGCGAGGATTGCAGGCTCCTGGCAGCACCTGAAATTCTCCGCTGAGATCCAAGGTCCAGGCTGCTGACGAGACCGCTGGGCTCAGCGATGAACGGGTCACTGCGTCTGCCCTTCTCAGCTCACAGCTTCAGCACACAGGAGAACCTGGTGCCCAGCTCGCCATCCGCTGGGGCAGGTCACCTGCCATTGCCGAGTCAGTCCCTCCTGTCCCAGGGCTCCTGAGCACGAGTCGCAGAGACGCCTGTGAACACCAACCTACCGCAAAGTGCCTGCTAAACCGCTCTCCCCAACTCACTCTGGTGCTCGGCAGTGTCCCAGGACCCAGCCCCGGCCGCTGGCCCCCAGACGGGGGGATGCAGGGGCCTCGCAGAGGTCGGGACGCCGAGTCAGCTGAGAACACCTCTCCTGCAGGCTGGGCTCTGGTAAGAGCCCCCGCCCCTTTCCCCTGGTCCGCGCGGCTCTCGAGGCCCATGACGCCCCCTCTGACGGATGCGGAAAGTGGGGCCGGCTGCTGCGCCGTGCTGGTCAGGGCTGCAGGGGGCACGGCTTTGTCACGCCCCCACGGCCTCTGCTCGGCCACTCGCGCACCTGACCAGTACGCAGGGGAGGCGCTCACGTCCCTGTGCTGGGAGCGGAATGGCAGGCAGATCGGGCAAAGGCGTTAAACGCCATGGAAAGAAAGGGCCCCTGATCCCTAACAGTCGTCTCGTGCCGCTAAAACACACCTGCGCTCGTCACGGTTCTGCGGAGACGCGGAACCACATGCGGACACGCGGAACCACATGCGGACACGCGCGGAGGAGATTTGCTGCGGGAAGTGGTGCAGGCGGGTGGAGGCGCGAAGGCCCCAACGCTACAGGCTGCAGCTGGAGAAGCAGCGGGTCCGACACCCGGGGGCGGAGAGGCAGACGCCGGGGCTCAGAGGGGGCTGCACTCCCTCCTCTTTTCTGTCTCATTTGGGCCTTCGGGGTCTGGACGAGGCCACCGCGTCGAGGAGAGCCATCCGCTCCACTCCGCTGACTCAAATGCTAACCTCGTGTGAACACCCAGAACTCATGTGTCACCAGCTATCTGCGCCCCCTTTAGGCCCGTCGAGTTGACACATGAAATCAACCGTCACAATACTGTACACAGTGCATGGAATAACAGTGTAACATCTTGTGGACTTGGCGACACACTGTGTCAGCTCCAGCTGCTGCAAGGAGCAGCAGAGGTCAGCGGATGTGGCGCTCAGGGTTGCAGAGGCCACGCCCAGGGTCCGGCTGCTGCGGCCCCTCCCTGCCGCAGACACACCTCGCTGGGCCCTCGCGTGACAGCGAGTCACACGGGCTCTACCCTGTCTTGTAAGGACATGGCCCTGTCAGACCGGCCCTTCCCGTGGCTTCATTTCACCCCAAGGACCCCTGGAAGCCCCTCTCTGTAACAGCCAGCGCGCGCACATTGCAGGGACGTGCCTCCATTTACCAGCCTGCAGGGGACACCCGTGGACCCGTCACCGTGTTCTGAGGGGACTTTTCCGAGTGGGGATGCTGGCTTTGAGTTGACACAGGACGAGATATTCCGAAGCCTGTTTCCACGAAGGCTCTGCAGGTGTCTCCACACCCAAAGCCTCCAACGGCCCACCAGCCCGTCCTTCCAGTCAGAGGACAGTAAACCCCGAGCAGCTTCCCGAAGGAGGCGCTCTGGAGGCGAGGAAGTTTTCAGAGTCACGCGCAGGGTCTGCGGTGAGGACAGACTAAAGGCGGAGGACAGGACAGCTACCAGCCATGACGGAGGTGAAGGCTGGGAGGAGGTCAAGGGCTTGGGGCTGACAGGCACGTCTCAAAACCGTCAGGATTCACGTTTTACCCGGAAAGTATTAGCACAGACAGAAGCGTGTGCAAGAGGAACAGTGGCTGAGGGGCGGGCGCGGGCAGACGCCCAGCGGGTGCCGGGCCGTCACAGAGCAGATGTTCGCGACTGTGCCCCTCGCCAGAGCTGCCCGGCGTCTCCCCCGGGAGACGTCAACACGCAGGACGGCCTGAGGGCCGAGCCGGGCGGAAAGTTTACACCGAGAAGGTAAGTTTCTCAGCACTGGTCACCCTACTTATAATGTACATTTCTACTTTCTCCAAAATTGTAAACAAAAGTGCCCCAAAGCCCCAGACAACGAAACTGGCCTGCAGAGACGGCCCAGCCGTGGGCGGCACGGAGGGCACGTGGCGGGACGTGGTCCCCACGACCCTTCCCCAGACAGAGGACTCACACGCATCTTGCCGTAGAGGGAAAGCAGTGACTACTCTGCGCTCAGTTTTACCAAATATCGCTGTGATTCACCCCTAAAAACCAGCAGGAAGCTGAGAGCACATCACGCCTGGGCAGGTCTCACCCATCGGTGACCGGGTGACAGTGTTGTGAAACGTCACCACTGGGGGAACTGGGCAAAATACACAGGGATCCGTGTGCGATTTCTGACAACTGCAATCATCTTAAAAAAATCTCAGTAAAAACTCGGCCCCAGCAGAGGGTGGCTCCCAGTGTCCACCAGTGTCCACCCAGGGGAGACAAGGGCAGACCTTGTGCCTCCGGCTGAGGCCATGCAGACCTGGTGCCTTTTGGGCCAGACCCCGCCGGGGACTCTGAGTGGGGCTGCGAGGCCCCACCCGCCTCCGGGCAGCACACACACGAGAAGGCTCCTCCAGACCTGTCCTCGCTATGCAATGAGCAGACACTGAGAGCCCCCGGGGTGAATCCCTGACGCATACTGCTGGTCAGCGGGCCCCCGCCCTGCACAGCTGGCTCCTGCCGTGGAGCCGGTGCCTGCTCTGTGGGCTGGCCCACCGCGGGACAGGCGCTCACGGGCCGGGCGGCCGAGCGCTCACCTTGGAGCCTCATCTCCATCCCTCTCATCACGGCCCTTTGGCAAATCAGAGTCTATGTCCCCGACCCACGTGGCAGAAAAGTCAGTCAGCGTGGTGGGTGCGGACCCGGCCTTGGCGAGGGTCCCTGGAGGGTGCTGGGGCTGCTCAGAAGGGACAGGGACCTAAGACAGAAGGCTGAGGGACACCGTTTCGGAGGCATGCTGGGCCTCCAACGCGAGCTCCTCAAATGTCCTCCCCCGAGCTCCCCCGAAGCCCATCCCCCCACGCGTGGGACCACGTGGACACTGAAGAAGCAGCCTTAAGGTCCGTGCCATGTGGGCCTCTGCCTGGACGCAGCGGGGAAGGCACGAACCTGGGCAGTCGCCGGCAGCACCGCTGACTCACGGGAAAGGCAGAGCCACCCGTCCAATGCCCTACGTTTCTGCGGAAGCCACGGGGGCGGGGGGGGCTGATGACAAGGCAGCAGTCAGAACACGTGGTCCCTGCCTCGCATCCAGGGCTTCTGGCCAATCCTCCTGGCACCGTGCCCAGCGCCAGGCCCATGAGGTGTGGAGGGCCTGGAGGGCGGCCGCAGGCGAGGGCAACGTTTCCAGTTGGTTGTCCCAGAAGCGGAATCACTCGGGCGTCTCCCCTGAGCAGGCCCTCGACACGCAGGAGGCTGGGGGTGACAACAGCCCCGTGGCCCCCTGTGTGGCAGCCCGCCTCCCGCCCACGCCGCCCACCGCAGGGGACATTCCTTCCCGTACAGGGCGGGGTCCTGGGAGACCCCCGTACAGCCGCTGCGAAGGGCGAGCCCCCGATGGCTGTGGGCTCAGCCTGGCCTCAGCCCTGCGGGCTCCCCGCGCACCGGGGCAGAGGTCTGACTGCAGTGTCCACTGCCCCCGGCTGTGACAGAGCCCAGCGGTCTGCTGAGAGGGCAGGGGGTTATGTGCCCCCTGGACATGACAGGAAGGCAGGGCCCTGGGCGCCCTCTGCCGCGAGGGGACAGCTGGGCGGTGGCGGCAGCCACACTCGCTCTCTTCTCGGGTCAGGAGGGACGTGGCACCGGGTCCGCACCATGAACTCTGGCGCTGCTGGCGCCCCACAGGGACGGGGTGCTGGGCCCTCCCGGACGAGCCGACCAGCCTCGTGTCCTGGGTCTGCCCAAGCTCCTCGTCACAGTAACTGCAGCAGAGCTGGGAACCACACTGGCTGGGGCCTGAGCTGCCCTGCGGCTCCCAGAAGGACCATCTCATTCTTAAACTTGTCTACCACCCCCAGTGATGGGTCCCCCAGTGTGACGGGGACTCTCGGAAATGGTGAGAAGCAGGGGGCGCCCAGCTGCTGCCCAACGCTTCAGTGCGGTCCACGTGGCCAAGCCCCGGGCAGCCTTTCCTGGGGAGGTCAGCCCTCGGCCTGTAAGCCCAAGGACTGGCCACGACTGACCCCAAGGCTCCTGACACCAGGGACACGTGGTGGCAGTGAAGACATTTGTGGTTGTCAGAACTGGGGTGCTACTGGCATCATGTGGGTGGGGTTGGGGTGCGGACACCCCACAGTGCTCAGGACGCCCATGGAAGAGCTGTCCTCCCCACGCGCCCACAGTGCTGTGGCTGTGAACACTACGGAACGCGTTTCCAGCACAAAGGCCCCTGAGGGTCGGGGGTCCCTCCGCCTGCCTGAAAACAGGGTCACGCGAGAGCTCCAGCAGGGCGGGCACAGCCGGCCACCTCGGAGCCCGGACTCCCAGCCGTCCCGTCCGGGTCCTGACTGGGAACACGGAGTTCCCGCAGAGACGCCTGGAGAAGCCACAATTACCCAGGAATCACCGGGGGGCGGCACACGGCCCTCAGTCCATCCCGCACCAGCCGCCCCTCAGAGAAGCACCAAACCGTGCATCAGCCCCTCGGAAAGTCACGGCGACTCGGGGAGAACAAACTGCCGTGGAGACCTTTTTCAGGGTTCGTTTTTCGTTCCAGGTGGGGGGCTCGATGCTCTATGGGAGGGGACATGTGCCAAAACCCGAGGAGGCCGCCCGTCGACACAGGTCCCGCCTCCAGCCTTCCCCCCACCGGGCCGGTAGGGCGGGCAGTCTGTGCCGGTGGGCCAGGGCCAGCGGCCAGGGACGGAAGGACCGACGCTCAAGGCTGCTCCTGAGTCAGCTGTCTGAGCCCCCTGTTAAGGAGGCATCCGTGGGGAAACTGAGGAAAGAGCTGGCGTGTGTGGAACAGGCCGCAGGTGGGGGGCGGACATGACAGCCAGGGTGGAAAAGCTCGGGGGTCCTCCTGGTGGCAGCTCTGAAAAGCAACACTGAAGCCGCCCAACGGCAGCAGCGCCACCCCCCCCCAGTCAGAAGGCCCACGGCCGCCGAGCTGGCCTCACACACAACCCGAGCAGCAGGCGAGCCCGGGAAGGAGGCCATTTGTCCGGCCCCGTCTCTGTGCCCCAAGTGCCACGCTGGGAGGGACCCTCGGCTTTGGCACTCGCCGTCCTGACCACGAAGGGGTGGACTGAGCACACGTGGCCGCACAGCACTTTCTACAACTTGTACACACAAAAAGGAACAGAACAAACCCTCCAAATAAAGCTGTGGTGTGAAGTTTGAACTCCCCAAGTCAGGACATGGCCTCAGACACCCCAGTGTGGGCTGAGCACGTGGCGCACGCGGAGCCCACCCTGCCAGCCCAGCGACGCCGCAGCCGAGCGCACCGACTCCTGCCTCCACGGACTCTCTTCTTGGTCAGGCAGCTCTATTTTCTTTGGTCTTTTAGTTTCCCAAACAAGATAAAATTAAGAACCCGCCCCAGATGCAGTTGCCTGTAACGTGAAAAACAAACACTAGGTCTCCAACCTGATTGGCCTTCGTGAAAATCACAGTGACCCTTGTGCTCACTGATGGAGACTGGGAGCTTTGTCCCCAAGCTCAGGACCAGGACAAGGTTCCAACGGGGCCATTAGGCAAAAAAAAAAAAAAAGAAAGGAAGGAAGGAAGGAAAGGCCTCTCAGGGGAAAGCGGGGGAAGGCCACGTCCAGGGCTGGGGGTGCTGAGTCACGTGGTAACTCTGTGGCTGTCCCGAAGTGCACAAGGCGCCCAATGCGAACCTGCCCGAGAACGTCCCCAGCAGCAGGTGACGAAAGGCCACGCACTGCGTGGTCCCACTTCCGTGGAGTGTCCGGAAGGTGCAGCCCCCGAGCAGAGCAGGCCGCTGGCTGTGGCGAGCCAGGGAGAGACTACTTAAGGGGGTCGGGGACTCGTTCCGGGGTGACGAAAATGTTCCAAAATTGACTGGCTGTTCGAGTCTGTAAAGACCTTAAAAGCCATCGAACTGCACACTCTAAGTGGGTCTATTATGTGATATGTGAGTTACATCTTGACAAAGTTTTTATTAAAATAAATAAAATGGTTCCTTCCATTTTAGAAAACCCAGGTGCCTCAGACTTGATGACAAATCGAGCTGCTGGAAGCTCAGATGGCCATCAGGAGCAGATGACCGACAGCCTCCCGCTGCTAGTCCACCCTTCCCCCCAGCGAGGTGAAGTCCCTGTCACTGAGTGAAAAGCCTGCACGTTTCTGCCTCGACCACGCCACCCGGCACACGCCTCGCCTCGTCACGGGCCAGTTCAGTCCTCCACTTCCAGACCGGTCGGTCGGCCCTGGGGGCCAGGACGAGGAGCTGCCACACGGGGGGGCCACCGCCCTGGAGACCTGGCCAACCGCAGACCCCTGAGGAGCCGCCAGTCACAGCTGAACTGACCTGTGATGCTTCCATTTTTGTTGGAGGCTCTTTTTCCCTAACTATTTCGGATTTCTTTCATTTTTGTTACAAACTTGGAGCGCTTGGTCATTCCAGACTGTTCCATCTGGCTTCCGTGCGGGTCTCTGAGGTGGCAGTGGTGAGTACACAGGCTTGGCAGAACGAAGGAGTAGCCGTTCAAGGGGTGATCCCAGACGCCTGCCCTCATTTCAGTCCACAGAAAGGGGGGCGAGTGGCGGGCGAACCTGCCAGCGACGGCAGCTTCGGTGACGCTCCAGCGGCCTGTCACGAACGGCGCCTGTCCCCGACGAGCAGCCACAGCTCAGAGCACCTCCGACCCGTGGGGGCGGTGATCAGGCGACAGGCAGCAGGCACTGTGTCTGGGACGCCGTCTGCAAGCGCCGCGCGTGCCCCGTGCACCCCGCGAACCCCATGAGCCCGCGCCTGCTGGGCCTGGCCGCTGCGCAGCCCCTTGGCCACTGCGGCCACCGCCGACCGCCAGCGCGGTCCTCTGAGCTGGCTGAGGGGGCAGGCAGCACAGCGTCAGGGGCAGAGCCGAGACCCACCGGACGACGCTGGTCCCACGGCCGTGTCCCGCAGGAGCGCGCGCCGCCCGCCCTGCCCCCTAACACCCTCCCTTCGGGCTGGGAAGGCCGCTGTCGCCCCACGGCGCGATGACCTGCTCTGGCGCCACAGGTGGCAAAGCCACAGGGGTCCTTCCGAGTCCTCGCTGAACGGCCAATTATACCCTCAAAGGGGATTTAACTTTTAATGCACCAGGAAGAAGTGATTTTATAACTGATTTTAATAAAAGTAAATTAACTTCCGCTGTGTTTCCTGTGTGGCAGCACCGAAGGCAGAGTCACACCACCCTGAGGTGAAACTACTCCCAGGCGAAAACCGAAGATCCTGGGACACGGTGGGACACGGTGGGACACGGTGGGACACGGTGGGACACGCACACACCCATCGGCAGCAGCGGGGGGCCACTAGGCAGCACGAAATGACGGACACCGTTTTCCCCATCACTGACCCCAGCTCAGCGGTCTGAGAGGTGGGGGTGAGCTCCTGTGGGCTGTGCCATCACTGGGGACCCGCCCACCCTGACACCCAGAAGCGAGGGCAGATGCCAGCAGCTCCGCCTGCCACCTTTCCGTCCTGGCACTCGACGAGCCGCACGGCCCGGCTGCGGGCCGCAAGTCCACCGGAGCGAGAGCCCTCCCCAGGCCCTGCTCCCCTGCATCGGAATCTGCTTAGGATGCGGAAGGTGGAGAAAAGGAGGCGATGTGGACCACGATTTCCCACGACGATGCAGGTCGGACTTCATGTGGCCTCTTGGGACCCCCTCCCAGTCGTTCCGTCCTGCGATAGCTGGGGGCAGACTTGGGGGTCACCGGGAGGCCGGGCAGTATGCGACCTCTGCAGCCGCGCGTCCCCAAGTCGCAGAGGCTGACGCGAGCGGCTGCAGTGGCTGCGTGGAGGCGGAGGGTAGGGCGGCCTCACGGCCTGTCCCCCACAGGTGCTGCCTGCAGCCTCGCAGGGCCACCACCATCCCCCAGAAGAGCGGGGCTGCCCATATGTCCACCCCGTGGCCCAGGGCTGTGATTCAGCCTGTATTTACAGGATGCTATGGCGGCCACCAGAGAGGACAACTGTAATCAAAACAGCCGAAAATAGCTGTTGGCAGAGAACCCCACACTTAGGGCGGACGCCCCAGCAGCCCCACGCTGGCATCCAGCAGGCCCAGCCTGGCCGTGCTCCATCCTGACCACCCTTCCCTTTCAAAGAGGGGGGTCGCAGGAGCCCCATACAGAGGCCCGGAGAGGGTCAGCAGGTCGTGTCCCTCCTGAACTCAACCAGGCCCCGCCCTCGGCTGGGCCTGCCCTGGCGCCCATCAGCTGAGCCCGTGACAAACGCAGCTGCAGAAGACCGCCGGCAGCACAAAATGCCGACAGGCACGTCCCTTCTCTGAGGCTGCCGAGAAGCCCAGCGCCCGCTGGTCCCCAGGCCAGTGCCAGCAGCTCCTGAGCACGAACGCCCGTGAGAAAGTCCCGAGAGCCGGCCGGCCCTCGCCCCACGGCGGGCCCGTGCTTCCCCTGACCTTGACCCTAACGGGAGGCCCAGCTTCCCGGGAGTCCCTCCAGCCAGAGGCTCTTCTCATCTCCATCAGGCTGGACCTGCCCTTCCAGAGAAGGGACAAAGCGCCACGGACTCCATGCGTGTCCAGTGACTGGACGAGGCTCAGAGTGCCATGAAGTGTGGTGTCAGGAGGACGTCTGTCTGGACAGCTGGACCACGATGCCACTGGGTGTGGACTCACCTCCCCGGTTCACCTGTCAGTGCGCATAGCTCGGCACTTCCTGGCACCTTCATGAAGTTGCGCCACTGCCTAATTGCAGAAATTTTCATTACCCCAAAAAGAAACTCTGAGAGACACTGCTCCACAGAAGACACCGCAGACGCGTGGTCCCGAAAGGCAAGTGGCATCGGCACACGCTCCTCAGTGGTCTCTGAAGCTGACCTCGCCACTGAGGCCGCACAGGGGATGAGCAGGGGACATTTGGGGCAGATGTGTGTAGGAGACCATGGAGAGGCCTTGACCAACTGTCCAGCCCAACTGAAGCCCAGCGGCCTGGGCAGCCAGGCCAGAGGACAGCAGATCTAATGCAGGGGGGGGACGTGGGGCTGCGTGGCCACCAGCAGGACGCAGTGGAGGGCGAGCACGCAGCCCACACCACACGAGGCCCACCAGTGCACGAGCCGTCACCTGAGGACGAGGAGACCCCACCGACACACCACCCTGGAGGGGGGGGCCCACGGCTCCCCATTTCCCTGCTCTTAGCTGTGTCGGCAGAGAGCCTCCTGGGCTTCACCACTGCCGGGAGGGACCCATGGGAGCTCGGCTGTCACCAGGTTCCCCTCACCTGGGCTGGGAGGTGAAAGGAAAGATGTCTGGAGGGAAACAGATCTGCAGCTGTAGCTGCACCAGCAGAGGAAGTCACGGAGCTGTTAGGATCTGCCACCCGACACATAAACAGAGCCCAGAGCCGGCGTCTTGAGAGATGACGTGCTTTCCAACCGGGACCTACACAGCTCAGAGGGGTCCCACACAGGCGGAAACAAGGTCAGGGGGACCGACCCCTGAGTCCCTGTGGATACTCCAAAATGTCCAGAGGAGCTGGGAGGGGCTCCTTCCTGGGAGATTCAGCTCGAGGCGCAGCGCTTGCAGTGCGAAGTCCAGCAGCGCGGCCAGCCTGTGCAGGCGTGGCACGAGCAAGCAGAGGCACGAGGGGGGCCTGCGTCCCTGCAGGGGACAACCCCACCCGCCGGCGACAGCTCGTTCCTAAGGGACGTGCTCTGTGAACAGGTCTAACTCCTCACCCTTTCGCCGGGGACGCCCGACCACAGTGCAGACACAGATCACTCGTGAATGCGCTGGCGGCGTTTCGTCGGAATTTACGCACAGGTACTTGTTTGAGTCTGGCGTCAACTCACCAAAATGGTTCCCGTTTTAATGCACAGTTTCCACCGGAAAATGAAAACGCTCAGGAGACGGAGGGGGCTTGCACACGCAAACAGCGTGAATGTGCGTAACACAGGGAACTGCACAACGAAAATGGTTAAAATGGCAAATTTTATGTGACCTATGCTTTACCACGATAAAAAATCGGCCCCGTTCTTGGTTAATCATACGTATCGCACTAACGCCGCCCTTTACTGAGTGGCGCCGGGCACTGGTGTCTGTGGGATTGGGGGGGCACGCCCTGCAGCTGAGCCCCCACAAAGCAGCCCCAGATCTAACTGCCGTCTCTCCTGCACGTTCTAGGTTCAGGGTTTGTGAGAACCTGGGGTGCAGGGGGAGCCCCCGGGTGAGTCACGTTCCCACAGGAGAGGATGGGACGTACAGAGACACGGGGGAAAAACAGGAAGACGAGCACTGGGCAGCGGGAAATCCGCATCTCGCTCACGCTTCTGGAAAAGAGAAAAGGTCGCAGTGGAAAATTTTGAACTGCAGGCGGGCGCAGGAAAAGCCCCCGGCACCGCGAACCGCTTCGTGCTGACGCACAGCGCACGCGCACGAGGCACCGCCGTCTGCGGGAGACGAGGGCTGCCGGGGGCTCAGGGCGCCCCAGGGCCCGCCCCTTCCGGGTTCTGAGCCTGCATCACCCTCGCACTCAGCGCAGAGAGACGCTGGGGGTCCCTGCAGACAGCTGCGTCTAGACAGACCCGTCAGTTCAGAGCTGTACAGGGATGTTGGACGCTTCTCGAAGCTTCAGTTTCGTCACGAGCAAAATGAGAACAATTATACAGCTTGGTTTGTTGTCACGAGATAATTTTGAAGTCCTTGGCTAACAGCAGAATGCCACGAGCACCTGTTTTTAAGACCAGCGGCCTGGCCTGGGGGTGTCCCGCAGGGAGGTCAGTGACCCTGAGAGGGGCCACTGGACTGGCCTCCGGTCCGGTCCCAGGTCAGGGGAGCCCCAGACCCCCATGTGTCACAGGCCTCCCTCCTGGGGCCACACGGAAGCGACTTCTCAGGGCTCCTGGAGTCAGGTGTTGAACAGCCGTGAGAGGAAGTGACAGATGTCAAAGGCAAACGAGAGGCTGTAACGGAGCTGGCGCTGGCAGAAGCCGACGCGGGAGCCACACGTGCGATGCCCGCTGAGCTGCAACCGGCCGGCGCGACCCCAAGCCGCGCCTGAACGAGGTGC